AACTTGGCACCACTTCCTTCTTCTTCTCCTTGACCGAGACCCGATCCCATGGTCCACCACCATGAACGGTGGCGCCACGACTTAAACTGACCTAGCACACCTCTCAATGTTGCCCTCTGACGATGCCCCAGCCTAAACAAAACACGCCGGCAGTGGGAAGTTCTAACCCTTTTACCCTTTATTTTATATTTAAATTTTTAGATTAGGAACACTTGCATGCAGTAATCGAAAAAAATCAATGCTAGATGTGTCCTTACTTGGAAATTTCAGTTATGTTTTTGTTTGATTCTCAAAAACATTCTCCTCTATTACATTGTTTTAATTTTTTGGGTTATATACCCATTACAACCATCAGAAAATAAATTGATTTGCCTGCTGAATTTGGTTGGTATAGTTGGTGTTATCGTGATTTTGAGGAGATGGTGGCCTTACTGCTGCTGCAGCAGGGTATGACATGGGGTGGAATGGCTAGAGTGGCAGGCGTAGAGTGTTGCAGTGGGCAAGATGTGCCTGAAGTTGGTGACCAAATTAGGGTGAAGAAACCCTAACCGAGTTTTGGGCTCACCAATGGGCTTCACTCTTGGGCTTGGAGGCTTGTTGCTCTTGCTTGTTGGGCTTGCTTGTTGGGCATTTGGATTTCGATTTGGGTCGGATGACTCTTTGTAATTAGGCCCAATTATGGGCTCATAATTTGGTCGGGTGAAAACGAGTATCTACAGTTTGTAGAAAATTTTGAGTTTGGACCCAAAGGAATATGACGTTCCAATGTTTTATGTTTACACGGTTCTTGTATTTTGTACGCATCGACTATTCGATTGAGTGAACTCGGATTAGATCCAGAGGTTTTAAGTTACATGGTTGATGACTCTTGTTTTAAGTCTCAAATTTTCATTTAATTATTTTAGTAGAGCTGAATTATAAAATTATAGCTAAAATTTTGAATTTATAATTAAATTTAATTATATATTTATAATATTAAGACACAAATTAATCCAATTTAATAAATTTCTCTAGATTATACATATATTTTTCTTTATATTTTTTCATGTAATGTCATCTAATAAATAAAATCTCATCTACAAATATAAAGTATATTATAACTTTTTTTTAAAAGAAAATATTTTAGGGAAAAATTATTGGGCAAAAGTGCCCAAATAATGATGTGGGAATTTTTAATTCCCAAAGTAATGTAGCCACCCGATTAATTTCTGATATAGGATGTTTTCTACAGGGTTTTGGGATCTCTCGGTGTCTTCAGGGGTGGACCAGATTTCTCGGCGTCTTTGGGTGAATTCAATTGTGGAAATCCCGGCGCCTTTAGCATTTAAAAAAAAGTTGGCATTTTTACACAAATATCACCTTAACAAAAATTAATTACTTGTTAGGCACTGTTTAAGAATATTTTACGGATCTAGCATATTTTAAATACTTTCTATAAAATTATTTATGCATTAAATTACACAATATAATTATGTCTACCAATTACTACTTGACATTTTCTGATGCGTTTTTGACCCTTTCAAAATCCTATACGTATAGTATATTCTAGGATTTTGAAAAATAATTTTGCATAAAGGCGCGACACATTCACCGCATAGGATTTTGAAAAATAAATATTAGTTATAAAACTTTTATAAATATTTTTCAAAATCCTATGCGGTACATGTACCGCGTCTTTCTACAAAATTATTTTCAAAATGATAATGATTTGTAATATTTTATAAAATTATTTATATTTTAAATTACTTACCCTCAAAGTTTCCTAGAATATACTATACGTATAGGATTTTGAAAGGGTCAAAAACGCATCAGAAAGTGTCAAGTGGTAATTGGTAGATATAATTCTATTATGTAATTTAATGCATGAATAATTTTATAGAAAGTATTTAAAAATATGCTAGATCCATAAAATATTCTTAAACAGTGCCTAACAAGTAATTAATTTTTGTTAAGGTAATATTTGTGTAAAATAGCGAATTTATTTTCCGAAATCCCATTAAAGACGCCTAGAAATCCATCTAACAATGAACACCCCTTAAGACGCCAAGAGATCCCAAAACTCTGTAGAAAACACCCTATATCAGAAATTAATCAGATGAGTACATTACTTTAGGAATTAAAATTTCCCACATCATTATTTTGACACTTTTGCCAAAATTATTGATGATAGTATAAAGGTGTTAAAGAATTGACCGAACAAAAAATTTGCATTTAGCAATAAAAATTAAAAATAAAATACAAAGTTAATAAACTAAATTAAAGAAAGAGTAAATTTATTATTAAAAATAGAAATTGGAGTTAGGGGTGTTCATTAATAGGTTAGAATCGATTAAACCAATAGAGTCGAAATTTTTTTAGTTAAAAAATTGGTTAATTTTATGTTCGGTTGGTTAACGGTTAATAATTTTTTCAATGTTCGGTTATTAGTTAATTTGGTTTGAAATCGATTATATAAACAAATTTTTAAATTTTTAATATATTATTTAAATGACCATCCAGCTCAATTGGTAGAGCACAAGGCTCTTAACCTTGGGGTCGTGGGATCGAGTCTCACGGAGGGCATTTCATAATTCGGAGGTCTCCTACGAAAGTTGCTCTCAACCTGGCGTTAGGGGCAACCTACTATCTTACTTCCCCCTTACCCCATTACATATGGGAATAAGGGACTCCTAATTTTAGCTTTAGGAGTATTTAAATTTCAATTTTAACCAAATTAACTGAAAATATTAAATATTCAATAAATAATATATTAACGATTAAAGGTAAAAAATTCGATTAATCATTTTTGACCAATTCGATTTGATCGGTTAACCGAATCAATTGATTGAATACCCCTAATAGGAGTACATAGATTCTATATTGTTAGAGGATTATGTGATTCAAATTTAGTCAAAAAGAGATTTAAACTGACATATGAATTAGGAGTGAGTTTTTGAATTACTCGAATTGAATCAAATTAAAACATTTCAAATTTGTCGAATTAACAAGTTATTTTCTATCATTCAAGTTTTATTTAAAATTTTCTAATATAAAATTCCAATCAAATCAATTCAAATTTTCGAATCAAATCAAATCAAATTTTATTTACTTTAATTTTATATGATTAATTCAAAATACAACAATAATACTAAAATGACTTTAAAAGTAACATTTTAGGGCACGGTGTTAATAGTCAAAGTAACATTTTAGTGGAGTGAATGACTTTTTTTAATACTAAAAATCAAACAACCAATTAAGAGATCACACATTAAAACCATGGATTAAGCACTCAGAATTAGGGAGGTGAACCATATCCGAACTTGATGTCTGAATTTCGATTGGATTATTTTTTTTAAATGTTCGAGTCAAGACGGATCTTTTAAAATATATGTTCGGGTTGAGTTGGGTCGGATTCGAGTTTAATGTGAAAAATATCTGACTTGACCCGACGTGAAAAATAATATAAACTTACCTTATATACTTAGAAATAAATTACAATAATAATCTTTTATATATTATATTTTCAATTAGATCAGTATTTTTATTGAATAAAAATATTTTTTATAAATATATTTATTTCGAGTTAAATCGAGTTCAGATTTTATCTAAAATATTTGGGTCATTTTCGAATCTAATTAAATCATCTCGATAGTCGGATCGAATCGAATCTAAAATAGAGAGTTTATATTTTTAAATCGGGTCAGGTTGATCGAAAACCGACCTAAGCCGACCCATGCCCATCCCTACTCACAGTTGTGGAAAATTGGACCACCACTCTCTTGTTTTTGGAAGGAAAAAAGTCTTAAATTGTAATTAAATGATTATGATTCACAATTGACACCCAAAAAAGTCGGTTCAATATGTTTGAAGCATAAAGGAACAATCAAATAATAATAATTAACCAATTTGCTATTTCCATTAAAAATAGATTGATCCATCTTTATTGCGTGGACGAAAACCAATCTCAATATCTATCCACCCATCCACCACCGACTTCACTTTGCTTCGACATAAAAATATATTTATTTATAATTTTAATAATTAATCTTCTTAAATATTTTTATTCTTTTTTAATTGGACCTAAAATATTAAAGTATTGTTTATAATCAAATTTAAACGGAAATATTTAATATAAACTGTTATTATTTTGTTGAAAGTTATAACTAATTGAATAAATTCATTTAAAATTTTAATTTTTCTAAGATATGTTGATATTTGATAATAATATGAATTTTAATTTATCTAAAATTAAATTAAATCAAATCTTAAACAGAAAACAAAATTCTCCGGACACTATTTTTTTGTTTATAATATTTAAACCTGAATTTTCTTATGAAATCTTTCTCCACCCAACTTGGATTGATCCCTTCGCCACTTGACTAACATTATTATCCTAAATAAATAAATAAATAAACTAAGCAAAATGCTGTTATTTCAGTTATACAAAAAGCTACTTCCTTTCTTTGATTTATAAAGTATCCAATTTATATAGTTATATTAGATGTTAACCAATAACCAAACATTGATATCTTCCCACACATAAATAAAGAAAGATAGTTATCTAATTTTTTTTATTGCACTCTTAATTTTAGAATTTCTAATTAATCTAAATTTTACTTGATATAAAACAGTGTAAGCGTATAAAAAAATAAACTTGGGAAATTATATGCTTGCCAACAGGATGTTCCAGACTAAAAATACGTCGGCTATCACATGCTCAGAACTGAGAAGCCGCTACTTGAGTTGATTTCGGTTAAGACACCAAACACCCTTTCGTATTCACCAAGAGAAAATTAGTGTGTATTTAATAGCGTTTATTATGTTACAAGTATATTTATATTTTATAGGTTACTTAAGACAAATTAAGAGGTGGAGATGATGGGTTATGTCGGCCAAATTTGGATTTATCTTTAATGATGATCAACGTGGCGGCCGTGCCCAGACGACGGACTAGAAGCCAAGTGGGAAACTATACTCTTTCATTTTTGTATATATTTACTTCTCAGAATACCTTTTGAAGCAAAGCCTATTCCTATTCTATGATTAAACAAATATAGTTTATCTTTTCTTCTTGCTGCCTTACCAGTTCTAATTTCTGGAAAACCAAGATCCCGTTTAAGGGTTTTCATTTTTATGTTGTTTAGCATGGAAGGTGATTGTTGCTCAAGTTCAAGTTGGACGAGCGGGGAGAGGAGGAAGGTGCAAAGGCAACAGAAGAAGGAGAAACCATTTAGAGGGATAAGGATGAGGAACTGGGGGAAGTGGGTGGCTGAAATCAGGGAACCCAACAAGAGGTCCAGGATTTGGCTCGGCTCTTACACTACACCTATCGCCGCCGCCCGTGCCTACGACACCGCCGTGTTCTACTTGCGTGGCCCTTCCGCAAGGCTCAACTTCCCCGATCTCATTTTACAAGAAGAGGACCAACTTAGGGACATCTCAGCCGCTTCCATACGAAAGAAAGCAACCGAGGTCGGTGCTAAAGTCGACGCCTTGCAGGCGTCGCCGTCGCTTCATAATCATGCTTCCGCATCGGAATCACCAGATAATACTCGTCGAGTTTTCCCGAATCCTGATTTGAATAAGTACCCTGAAAGTTCTGATGAAGAATGAATCCATGTAACAGCGATGATTGATGGAAATAGACCCCCGAAAAGCAACTGTTCATAGGTGCCATTTTTTTCTTCTTTTGTGTTCATCTCATCGAAATGGAATCAATGAAAAATGGTTTGATTCTGTTTGATAAGGTTGCGTTTTGATTTGGAATACAATTAAACTTTAGTTTATGGAACAGGAATTTGGCTAAGCATAGGTAGTTAACTGCTTTGGCAATTACTTCAATTTTTTCATCTTCAGCAAACATATATGATACTCTAATTGCATGCGTCCAACAAATTTAAATGGTTAGATTCAGGGGGGGAACCTATTTTAGTTTTGATATCATTAAAATTGGGTTAATGACCAATTTATCTGCTGAAAACCTGTTCAATTTCCGAATGACAGTTAGAAAATCCCCTTCGAAATCCTAACTCAACTGTCAACAGGATTGCCTTTACGCATACCCACGCATATGCAACAAACGCATCAACCATGTCTTCATGAGGGTAAGTACACACACTCATATTTTCTGTACTGGCTATACTGTTAAGAGCTAAAACACCGGAAATAAAACTGTGTCAGTATATAAAACGATATATCAAAATTGATTTTTTTACAATCCGATGTCGGTGGCCTCCATCGTACTTTCTTAGCCGTCATTTTTCTTTTAAAATATCACATGATTCAATCAGAAACTTTCAGCACACAATAAAAAATATTGTTACACCACACTAGAGAGTTATCCGCGAGTTTTCCGCACAGCATTTTCTTCGCGCCTCATAATCACAGGACCTTAAGATTCCTCCGAATTTTTTACATCTCGAAATTTTGGGGAAGACGTAAAGAGAACAACTTTGAGAAAGAACTAAACCATTTAAGATCCCTTAGAAAATGCCCCCCTTAACAAACCCATATTATCTATTAGAGTTAAATTCATCGTCACCTGAACATATTTACCTAACTAACCTTATAGATAATAATTATAGTCCTACGGCTAACACGTTTACTAACGAGTCTTTATATAACCTTTTCGAGCATGAATGAGAGACAAGATGCGACCTTAATGAAATCACCTCACCTTAACTCTTCTTTGCTCCGTTGGATTAAAATTCATTATTATGAGTACATAATTTTAATTTATATTGTTATCATAAAATATGACACAAATTAAGTGACCAATTATGTTACAAAGTCATAAGATATTAGAAGTGTTATGGAAATAAAAGTGTAGATACTATTAAAGTTGTATTTATAATTTGACGAGGGACATGATTATAGGTAAAAACAATAAATGATTCTTAAATCAACTATATAAAGGGGTTATGGTCCCCAAAAAATAGATTATCTCATATTTTTCTTATCCATGTTAGAGAGTTTATACTCCAGAGAATTTCAACTTCTTGGAAGATCACAACTAAAGATATACTCAAGGATTTCAACCTATCAATTAATTTTTGTACGCTTTCGCATCTAGTATTTTATTCTTGATGATTTAACATGATTAGATATTGGTTCGTTTTTCATATTATTATGGTTTGATTCTAACAAGTGGCATCATTTCCAGATCATGTTGAATTATTGAGAATGAATTTATTTTCTATTATTTTAAATTGATTCGTATTAAAAGAATTTATGAGATTGATTATAGCTGTAAAAATTAAGTACTGTAAAACAAATAAATTAACACTGACAAGTATGATATAATGAAATGAATAAGAATAATTTTTTACTGTACCGTGGTAATCCACTATCTTATAAGTGAATTTGCTCTGACCGATGTAATCATAAAAAATAGACGATCGCACCCAAGGTTAATACAATACTCCTTGTTTTGTACACCTATGATAGGAAGCTGAATTTCAGTTGATTGTACTTTTCTTAAAGGTAGAGAGATTTGAAAAATGTCAATGATAGCCAAAAAGAAAAAGATCAACTAGTAAAGGCTTAAAAATAATAAAGGAAACTTGAACGTTTCAAAGTTTAAAATGGAACAAGAGAGGAAGAACGTTTCAAACTTTTAGGATTCAAAGGTAAGTTGTAGGTGAGATTTTTTACGGTGAAAGTTGAGATATTTCTCCCTTTTAGTTCCAACATTACCCCTATTTGGAACCTATATGAACTTCTTTGGTTATCATTGACCATCTACTATCTTTGGTTTTGATTTTTTTTATTTGAAATAAGCACATAGAAATGGGAAATGTATCTGAAGTTACTTCAGTGCTATTCAATTCTCACGTTAGAATTGAATCATCATTTTTACCCTCGGCTTATAAAAAAAATTAGCTAAGCATGACGAAGGTCATACTTATCATTTTTTTTGAAATGGAAGCTTTAAAAGGAATGAACAAAGTAAAACTAAAGAAATTTTATGAAAGCTAAGAAAAAAAAACAAAAAAAACAAATGTTTTTTTATAATTATGAATGATGAAATATGCTTACCCTAGGAAGGTATTTATAGCCTTCTAAAACCCTAAATTATGCTAAAAATTAAAAAATATAAATCCTAAAAATAGTTTGAATTAAATCCAAAAGATAATTCTAAAATCTTGAATTTTAAATTGCATGAAATACTCCAACCGTCTGTCCACATTCTAGAATTGATTATTGGACGCCACTGACTGGACCTTCTAGAATTTGTTGACTCACTGTCACGTCAGCAGCTAATGCCCAATTTCATGCCCACTATTCCAGCCTTGATTTCATAACAAAAAGTGCAGTTTTCGGGCCTTTTAAGCATATTTTTTTAGCAATCATTGTCCTGCACAAAAAGCATATAAAAACATCCAATTCAACAATAAAGATGAATAATCGAAGAGTATTTAAGCACAAAATGTAGCACAAAATACACACTAGTCAAAGAGCATAAAACTTTTTCTTTCACGTCGATAGATTCATCAAGTCCTTCTCACTAAGACAACCCAAAGCCTGAGCTATAAATCCATTAAGAGTTCAAAAACTCAACCTCAATTTTGCACAGTACATCATAGGGATAGGAAATAATGTACTACATTCAGTCAATGGGCTTAAGACCCATCCCCCTCGACGTATCAAGAACTAGTTTTCTACATAACCTTGTGGTTAGTGGAACAACTAGTTCCTTTCTGATTTCACATACTCCATAGAGAGCACCATTTTGTATTAAATGTCTCACACATTCATTTATTATCTGTGTCGCGACCGTCTTTCAGGTGGGCACGCAATTGGGTTTCGACTTGAAAAATGTGTTAGAGTCGCCACCGATCATTTAAATATATATTTAGTTGACCGGACACCATCTTACATGTTCTACATTTTACTAGAAATATATCAGATTGGGAGTCTGTTACAATCAAGGAATGATTAGCACCCTTGTATTACCCTTTCGGTACCAATTAATTTTTTGGTTGTCTTAACCGCGAAAATTAAAATTTAAAAACCTGTTTCGAATTGCTTCCCTTTGATCGATTGAAATTACTAATGAAAAAAGTCAAAGATATGTTAGATGGTAGAATAAAACACATCAAATAAAAATTAATTAAATAAAAAGAAAAAAATAAATAAATCATAGAAGGAAAAAATATATAAAAATGTTATATATAAGAATATTTAAAGAAAAAACGAAACAAAAGAAGAAAATGTTAAATTTCAGAGAAAAAATAATAAAAACAATAAACAAAAAAATAATAATAATAACATTAGAAGAGGAAAAAATAATAAAACAAAAAAACAAAAATGGAATAAAAACTGAAAATATAAAATAAAATAAACAATAAACATGGAGGACTAAACAATAATTAATCTTAAACATTCATACCAAATCAATGACCAAAACAAAAGATACACATATCTAAGGGTCAAATTGAATATTAATAAAAAATACATAAAACGTAAAAACATAACTAAAATACAAGTACTGAAAAATAAATGCTCAAAATGAAATAAAGCAGAATTTCATTAAATGGCTGAAGCATGAAATGACACAAGTGTAGGGACCTAAGATGAGATTAACCCATTCACAAATTACCCAGAGATCCCTCCCCAATACGACGTAGTTTCGGGGAGGGTATAAATACCCTATAGGCCGGCCATTAAGGCCCTTGTCCACCATTTTTTCAATTTTTCTTCTCTCTCTAAGAGAGTGAAGCTCTGACTTCTCTCTAACTCCCTCATCGGAGGGAAACCAGCCACCAGGTCGACCACTGCCGACCGCCACTCCAGCGGTCGAAAAAATCAAACTTGCTGAAAATGTTCCCCCAACCTTGTGAACATTGTTCCGTAGCCTGATTTTTCAACAAAACGCCAAATCGACATAGATCTACAAAAATACGTTTGGATTTTTACCTTTTTCGATGAGACTCTTCGTCTTCCGATGTGACCTACGAAGAAAGCCCTTGGCTTTTTGTGATATATGGTTTTCGCTTAGTTTTTGTCTACTGATGCCTTATTTTTGTTCGGGTTTTTTGCTATGAATGTTTCTGTTTTCTGCCTTGTACACGATGCTCATGGTTTTGGTGCGGTTGTTATTTTTTGTGGTTTTATTGGTTGTGCTTGGTTTTGTGTTTCGCTGTTCCCCTCGTTGGTTGTTTGGCCTCACTATTTATGTCCTCTGTTTGGCCTCACCGGGGGGCTTTTTATAGCCCCAGTATTGACTATGGGCCCCGAACGGGATGAGATGTGTAGTTGTGAAACCTCGAGATGGTTCAGTTGTGGAACCTCGGGATAGTTTAATCCGGGTTCTTCGGCATGACGTTTCGGCCAACCTGTTGGCGCGTGGTCTCCATGCGCATGACTGATTTCTCTTCTGGCGGTGCCCCTGCTAAAACATGTAACCCTAGTTCGGGATTCTGGGCTGGGTCAGGCCCACTCAATCCGGGGCTACTGGATCAGGCTGACCTGGTTGGGATTCCTGTTGGACCCGAACATGGACTCATTATTGGACCTGGACCACAATAAAATAAAATAAATTAATAAATTAAAATAAATAATAATAATAATAATAATCAAAAAGATTTTAAAACTATATATATTATATATAATTTTAAAAGGTTTTCAAAACTATATATTATATAGTTTTCAAAATGTTTTAAAAATTATATACTATATATATTTTCAAAATATTTTTTAAAAAACCATATATTATATAAGTTTTCAAAATGTTTTTAAAAA